CTGCCACCGGTTACACTGCGTTAAAGTTCCTCTGATGAGATTGAGAGAGACAAGAGCTCACGGAAACTAGGATACACAGTTCAGACGATCGCTTGACTTCCCGGACGAAACGTACCTGGGAGCAGACGACATCAATTGTGAGTTGCTGGAGTGAGGGGTAGACATATCTTTACTCGATTATATACTTCAACAACAAATTAGGATATCACGACGGCCCGACAAAGGAGTGGCGAAGATTAACGTGTGAGGGAGATACGATTTTCTTCATTGAATTTCATTTACCTTCAAAAGTGGATCTCTATTTTGCCCTCGGGGATGCGAGTCGGCATTGGCCTTTCTATTGCTGTCAGAAGCGGTTGGTAAACTCACCGTGATCTGATTTGTCCTGAATGCATCTTCCCTTTGGGCTGAATGAGAGGCAACAGAAGGATCCTAGATTATACTGAAAAGATATTGGCAGAGTCTTGAAGAAGATGACGAGGGCTGCAGCAGCAAAGAACAAACCCAGGAATCGATGCACCACTAGAGGGGATGCAAAGTCCAGGAAATCCATGAAACGATGCACCACAAGAGGGAATGTAAAGTGAATTTGTGGAGAGGAACATTCCAGAGTATTTTTTAATAAATGCACCATGTGTATGATATATAATATGTATGGAATATCTGATATCTAACTGAATTTTGAATGATATTTATCCTTGCATTCAGAATTGTAGCATTTTATTAAACCAGTTAACTTGGTGAGTGAAAGCATGAGCACGTCCAGGACCAGCAAGGCAAAGACGCAGACAACTCATTCAGGCAGCTCATTTCAGGTAACCTATTGCTAGACAATCCGTTTAGACGGCTCATTTCTAAACCCTTTTCGCACGGCTCATTTCAGAAAGGCCAAATATAAAGCCCATTTTACACAACCAATGCGGAAGACTAAATTTAGACAACCTATTTTAGGCAGCTCTTGTAGCAAGTATGATGGACTTGGGGCCTATTCCAACAGTGAATTCGCACGGGGATAGTTGTCTTTGAAATGAATATATCATACTTTTTAGAATTCAAATGTATCTGAAGAAGAACAAAATCGTAAAGGTGCAAAGCTCTCATATAACCTTCTGAAAACAATTAAATGTAGAACTTTAATGTCAGGGACATAATCAATTCTAAATATTCTATTCACCATATTTTCTGGATGATGGTGCTACCCACGCTGACGAAGCTACAGTAACAACAACACATAACTCTGTGCTGAAGAAAACAATGGTGTGGATCTCATTCCTCTAAGCGGTGATATATCTGAGGTGAGAGAGGATTGTTAAAGGTAATATATCTGAGGTGAGAGAGGATTGTTAAAGGTGATATATCTGAGGTGAGAGAGGATTGTTAAAGGTGATATATCTGAAGTGAGAGAGGATTGCTAAAGGAATGGGGTGGCGATCTTGCCTCACCATCGTCGTGTTATACGGTTCATAAAACACGCGATAATCGAGGATGCATTGACTTGGCCAACAAGGCATAATGCGTCATCTCAGAAGTTGTTTGATCAAGGTTACAATAGTAAGGACCTCGTTAAAGCTTTCAAGAAGTTTAAGGGTAGACATGTGGAGGAAATTTCCAAATTTGATGCATGTCCGATGCAATTCCCTATTTTGACTTGCAACATACGTTCCCCAATTATTTTAGGCAAACACGTGACCAGACTTGCGTATGTCTATGACGGGTGCCACCGGTGGGGCAGGATACGCTCACCTTTTCGCGAACACCTGATATCATCACTATTTCATAATGATTAATAGACACATGCTCTGTCATCGTATCGCATGGTGACAATCACCAGATTGTCTGGTCCAGACTTGATTGTTTACAGACATCATCCTACAGCTGCAACATCGCTGAAACAAATAATACTCATGATGTAGTCAAAATTGTACAAATCTGCTTTTAGCAGATATTTCTCATGGATGTCAAAAGGTCTTTGTCGCTTCTATTTAATAACACTTCCATCTGACTACCCTACAGAATATACTATCATCACCACAGATTGAAAACCTACAATAGCGTTGTTAAGGATGAACGGACGCGCCATGAATACCAACACGCTTGGTGTCTGACATTTGATGTTATTGATGCGTGTAGATCTGGAACAGAAGGATATGTTAATAAGTGCATCTATTGTCATTGACTTCAATGGGCTGATTTCCAGTCAGACAACAGGTTCGTGTTCTGAAATCGCTATGGATGTTTCTGGTTGCATTTCTGCATAGTTCAGGTTTAAAAGTTAGCGTTTAAAATGCGTCCATGAGGTTGCATATATACTTTTCGAGTATTTTGTATTTTGTATATCCTTGCATATTATTATATATCATTGTATACCATTGTATTATTGTATCACTGTATATCATTGTATTATTGTATCATTGTATATCATTGCATTATTGTATCATTGTGTATTATTGTGTATCATTGTGTATCATTGTATCATTGTATTATTGTGTATCATTGTGTATCATTGTGTATCATTGTATATCATTGTATTATTGTATCATTGTGTATCATTGTATATCATTGTATCATTGTATATCATTGTATCATTGTATATCATTGTATTATTGTATTATTGTGTATCATTGTATATCATTGTATTATTGTATCATTGTATATCATTGTATTATTATATCATTGTGTATCATTGTATTATTGTATCATTGTATATCATTGTATATCATTGTATCATTGTATATCATTGTATTATTCTGTTATTGTATATCATTGTTCACACTGACGTCTATAGATTTATAAAGACTAGTAAACGAGTAATGTCAAATTTGACTTATTCCTTTCTCAACTGAAATATGAAACCGAGCCTCCTTAGCTCTGATATTGACTGTAACATTCATTCATTTGTGTTTATTTATTTTCATTATCTTTAAACAATATTTCAAAAGTGACGAAAGTTAAACAACTATGGTAGATTTTAAATACTTTGACGAAACTTACAAACATACCTGTAGGTACGATAATGTGGTGAGGTGAGGTGAAAGTGAGGTTTACGTCGTTCTTGAGAATATTTCGCTCATATGACGACGTGCATGCGTGTGTATGTGTATGTGCGGCTGCTTGTACTAGCCCAGACTGAAGCTGGTTTTATTGTGCTAGCCCACTGAGATACCATGCCGCAGTGAAGCATGAATACCCCACTCAGACACATTATACTGACTCCGAGCCGACCAGTCCTTGTTGTACCCATTAATGCCGAGCGCCAGGCAGGGACCAGCAAGTACCAACTTTTTACGTCTTTTGGTATGACGCTGTCGGGGATCGAACCCGCGACCTTCCCCTCTCCGGGCGGACGCTCTAACCACTACACCACGGAGGCGGTAGGTACGATGAATGGACTATGGTGAACCAAGTATGGTAAAGTGACATCAAAGGACATCGACACACGGAGCTCATTACCCAAAGGTTGGCCACATCGACGTCCTCGCTGTTGTATATATCATAGGTAAAAGCAAGGTATATTGTTTACTAGAGAGTGACAATACGTCAGTAACAGGTTGCCCGACGCAGTTGGTCATGTAGAGTTGCGTCCCTTGAGCGTGGCATGGTCATTTGATCGTCAGTTCGAATCCCAGATTCGCCGTAACTATTATATTATTTTTGCACCATAAGCATCATATTTATAATTCCTTGCTGTGGTTTTTGTTCGTTGGGGTATTTTGGTAAGGGTTGCTTGGTTGATTTGTTGGTTTGTTAGAGGTGGGCTGATTGTCCAGTTGGTTGGCTGTTTTAGATTTATATAAATACATTTCGTAGATTACGTCTTTCAGTTTTGATGTTATTCCATCAAAGCAATAATGTAGACGACAGTAAAGGGTGTTGTCACGTTGTAGCGTGAACATTCACTCTCGTGGTGCCTTTAACCTTTAACTGTCTCCGTGAGTGTTGAGATCATCTGAGCCGCCCCTGTAATCATAACACACAAGGAGCAGTATTCAAAGATGGCGTGAATAGTGTCGGACTTCTAAGCAAATAACCAGTCCCGGAGGGGATGAATCGCTGTGTGAAACCATTCCTGTCACGATTAATTTCTCACTCGAGTAATGAACGAATGGTTATAGCAAGGATATGTTATGAATAACGGCATCTTATGCTTTGATCCTGGAACAGAGCATTTGTCCTTGAGAGATCCTGTGTTGGGGATTTTTGGTATCCGGTTCCTCGTTGTTTTAAGACCGCTAAAAATCAATTAGCTTCATTCAATACCGCATCAGTAACAGTAAAGTCCGACGTTATGGACGCGTGTCATTTGTCAAAGGTGATCAGTTGTTTGTAGTAAATATTATTTATGACATATTTTTGGTAACACATTTACTTCAAAGGAATATCCTTTTATGGTTTTCCTAATCTTCTGTGAGCAGCGTCGTGTTTGTTCTTTGTTTGTTCTGTTGTTCCGCACTCGGCAATATTCCAGCTAAATGGCGGCGGTCTGTAAATAATCGAGTCTGGACAAGACAATCCAGTGATCAACAGCATGAGTATCGATCTACGCAACTGGGATACGATGACATGTGTCAACCATGTCAGCGAGAATGATCTACCGATCCTGTTAGTCGCCTCTTACGACAAGCATGGGAAGCTGAAAACAAATCCTAACCCGGATCTTCACCGATTAGCAGCGTTGTGAATACGGGTGGTTAATATGAAACCAAGCACACAATGCTTGAACGAGAAAACTAAACGAACGGGTGGTTCAGCTCGGTGACGAGACTGTTTGCCAGTTTGCACACGGACAGACAGGAATGTCTTTCATAATATCAACCACTTGCTAACCTTTTTCAGATTCGAATGTTTTTCCCGATGGAGTGGTGCTGACCAACAAACAACAAACAAATAATCGTAATACGACAATGGTTTAATCCGATAGCAAACCTGAATGCCCACATAGCGAGAACGCACACCCACAATATTAAGTGATCATATCTAATCAAGGAATATTTACCCTGCTCTTCATCCCCGCGCCAGCTCTGATCAGCTCACCGAATTCTCATTACATCGCCCTAAAACACCTTTCAACACCTGCTGTTACAAGCAAATGCTATTTTCCTGTCACTGGTTCTAATTAAGCAGCCGCAGTTGAGACAGTGAGAACTGCTTGCAGTACAACTAGTTCTGGTGGCTGATTAAAGCTGACCGAGCCTCGATCGATACAGCAGTGAGTGGTCTACGGGCACCATTCCTCGACTCTCAAAGCGTGCGTCTACCCTGACTTGGGACCTGTTTTCTCTAGCGGAGCAATTCCTCAGTAACAAAACCTTGGTTCCGTCGGATAGAGAATGTTGTGATTCGGACGCTTGAATTGTTTTGATTTGAAGGATCTACCTCCAACTATATTCTATTCGGGATACCGCTGCGGACATAATCACTCCGAGCTCAGGTAAGGTGTATGAAGAGAAATTTCCTGTTCGTATTGAGTCCTCGATCGAATCGTTGAGAAAACAAATCAGGAAAAAGTTGAACCGTTTTTACTTAAACTGAGTACTAGTTCGAGTGAATCGGTATCTTGCACTAATCTTCTGGAGTTTCGATAGGAACGTTGGTTTAATGTTTGTAGCTCACCTAATCCAACAAAATCAACGTAAGATATTATCGATCTCTGCAATTGTATGTATTCGACATATCTTGATGGTATTAACATTTCCTCTTGTCGCAAATCGCGAAATATGGAATTATTGGTATTGAGTTAGTAAGTAAACAGAGGGTTCTAATCACGGCACTCCTCATCAATACGGTTCATTTTCTGATCGTTATTGGTACCCCAAGGAGTCATCGATTTCCTATCAAATCCCATCTAAACCCGACTTGGCTGTCCACACCGTTGCTCTTGGTGATTGTGATTGAGGTTGAAATTGACACGACGTCGACACAACTGCATAGACCACGGCAGTAGCATCCATACTTTAACCAATTGAGGAAGACGTTATTATGGTCCAAGACAACTTGTTTATGACCTTCGTTTGACCAATTGGTTTATTGCTGGAACCTGATGGTCTAGTGTTTTACATTGGGAAAGCATTTACACCAGAAGAAAGAGATTTGTCAACATGATGTCAATTCCAATTTGCCATTCTGCAGCTGCAGTGTGCCGTGCTTTGTGTCTCTGAAGCTGTGAGGACGAACATTTTTATAGTCATGACCTCGAATTGTTTGAAACAGAATATATTTTCAGCCAACCTTTCAAAACATAGATGCTTACTTTGATAGGGGAGCCACACAATTTCAGAACAGCATATACACTGGCCGATGTTTTTCTTTGCGTAAAACCCGAGGATAAATATTTCATTCCAGCCTTTATAGAAACGGATTACGGTTTGAAAAAACTCCCACGCCGTCACCACGGCGCCCCAGTTGGACGTCACCGCAGCGCTTAGTACGACGTGAATGCATGGAATACGTCAATGTTTTAGAAGTATTGATCTTCATATTTCTGTCAGTATGGGTGAAACCTCGTAAGCACGGACCCCGTTAAACCACACTCCCCACTTTTCGGAAGGGAATCCATATTTCGAACGCTTCTATGTAATGATTTCTTTTATCCATAAATATATTCAATATAATAATTAATTAAGCAATGGCCTGTTGGGATTTAAAAGGTCAATTCCTCCTCCTCCTCCTCCTCCTCCTCCTACTACTGCTACTACTACTACTACTACTACTACTACTACTACTACTACTACTGCTGCTACAACTACTGCTACTACTACTGCTGCTGCTGATACTGCTACTACTACTACTGCTGCCACAACTACTGCTACTACTACTACTGCTGCTGCTACTGCTACTCCAGCTACTACTACTACTACTGCTGCTACAACTACTGCTACTACTACTGCTGCTGCTACTGCTACTCCTGCTACTGCAGCTACAACTACTGCTACTACTACTACTGCTGCTGCTGCTACTACTACTACTACTGCTGCTACAACTACTGCTACTACTACTCCTGCTACTGCTACTACTACTACTTCTGCTGCTGCTGCTGCTACAACTACTGCTACTACTACTGCTGCTGCTGCTACTGCTACTACTGCTACAACTGCTACTACTACTGCTGCTGCTGCTACTGCTACTACTACTGCTGCTACTACTACTGCTACAACAACTGCTACTACTACTTCTGCTACTACTACTACTACTACTACTACTGCTACAACTACTGCTACTACTACTACTGCTACTGCTACTACTACTACTGAAACTTCTACCTAGCTTGGATGTTTTGACGTGGTACCTATTTCGACATGTTTTCTGATTGCGCAATACCACCATGCTCCGAAGAATACCTGCGCCATGCCCTGAATGTCAAACATCGCGGTTCACACCACAAAACGTGGTCAATCGATATCGCCTATATTTGTTTAACACTTGTATTTCAAACCTCACTTTAAATAACCCTTTTTTCAGTTGCCTGGATTAATTATGGGTTGCAGTAACAGCGCTGCCTCTTTTCAGTATCGTGATTCAGGAATCATGAGTGTATTGTTGACAGAGTTGATTGCATCCATGGGTTTAATTGAAGCGGATGTCAAATTTCTAGCCGTGTCTTGAATTAGAGAAACGAAATTTATCAATGTCAGTCCATTCTGATCAATTTGTGTATCTCCCCACCACTATGGGCGTATATTGTACAGTTTGGTGATAGAATGAACATTGTTTGTTTCAAATATCCAATTACTTGGGCTAATGAATAAGATTGAATACTGCTTTGAGAAGTATTTTAGTTACATATCGTCTTAATGTAGTAGGAAGACCGAAGTTTTAGAGGGGGTTTACAAAGAATTATTGTTTTAGATATACATGTAATGTATACTACTGAAAGGAATGTTAAGCACATCTGTTTTTTTAGGAATGTAGAGTGAGTGAGTGAGTTGGGTTTAACGCCACAGTGAACAGTTTTCCAGCTGTGGCACGAGTGTGATGAAGGTCTCAGATGTTTGATGTCTCAGATGTTTGATGTCTCAGATGTTTGATGTCTCAAATGTTTGATGTCTCAGATGTTTGATGTCTCAAATGTCTCAGATGTTGATGTCTCAGATGTTTGATGTCTCAAATGTTTGATGTCTCAGATGTTGGATGTCTCAGATGTTTGATGTCTCAGATGTTGGATGTCTCAGATGTTTGATGTCTCAAAGATGTTTGATGTCTCAGATGTTTGATGTCTCAAATGTTGGATGTCTCAGATGTCTCAGATGTTTGATGTCTCAGATGTTGGATGTCTCAGATGTTTGATGTCTCAGATGTCTCAAATGCCCGATGTCTCAGATGTTTGATGTCTCTCAGATGTTTGATGTCTCAATGATGTTGATGTCTCAGATGTTTGATGTCTCAAATGTTTGATGTCTCAAATGTTGGATGTCTCATGTTGGATGTTTGATGTCTCAAATGTTTGATGTCTCAATGTTGGATGTCTCAAATGTTGGATGTCTCAGATGTTTGATGTCTCAGATGTTTGATGTCTCAAATGTTGGATGTCTCAGATGTTGATGTCTCAAATGTTTGATGTCTCAGATGTTTGATGTTGGATGTCTCAGATGTTTGATGTCTCAGATGTTTGATGTCTCAGATGTTTGATGTCTCATGTTGGATGTTTGGATGTCTCAAATGTTTGATGTCTCAGATGTTGGATGTCTCAGATGTTGGATGATGTTTGATGTCTCAAATGTTTGATGTCTCAAATGTTTGATGTCTCAGATGTTGGATGTCTCAGATGTTGGATGTCTCAGATGTTTGATGTCTCAAATGTTTGATGTCTCAAATGTTTGATGTCTCAGATGTTTGATGTCTCAAATGTTTGATGTCTCAGATGTTGGATGTCTCAGATGTTGATGTCTCAGATGTTTGATGTCTCAGATGTTTGATGTCTCAGATGTTGGATGTCTCAAATGTTGGATGTCTCAAATGTTGGATGTCTCAAATGTTTGATGTCTCAAATGTTTGATGTCTCAAATGTTGGATGTCTCAGATGTTTGATGTCTCAGATGTTTGATGTCTCAGAATGTTGTTGATGTCTCAGATGTTCAGATGTCTCAAATGTTGGATGTCTCAAATGTTGGATGTCTCAGATGTTTGATGTCTCAGATGTCTCAAATGTTTGATGTCTCAAATGTTTGATGTCTCAGATGTTTGATGTCTCAGATGTTGGATGTTTCAGATGTTTGATGTCTCAAATGTTTGATGTCTCAGATGTTTGATGTCTCAGATGTTTGATGTCTCAGATGTTTGATGTCTCAAATGTTGGATGTGTCTCAGATGTTTGATGTCAAATGTTTGATGTCTCAGATGTTTGATGTCTCAAAGATGTTTGATGTCTCAGATGTTTGATGTCTCAGATGTTTGATGTCTCAAATGTTTGATGTCTCAGATGTTGGATGTCTCTCAGATGTTGGATGTCTCAGATGTTTGATGTCTGGATGTTTGATGTTGATGTCTCAGATGTTTGGATGTCTCAGATGTTTGATGTCTCAGATGTTGGATGATGTTGATGTCTCAAATGTTTGATGATGTTGATGTCTCAGATGTTGATGTCTCAGATGTTGGATGTCTCAAATGTTGGATGTATCAGATGTTTGATGTCTCAGATGTTTGATGTCTCAAATGTTGGATGTCTCAGATGTTGGATGTCTCAGATGTTGGATGTCTCAAATGTTTGATGTCTCAAATGTTGGATGATGTTGGATGTCTCAGATGTTGGATGTCTCAGATGTTGGATGTCTCAGATGTTTGATGTTTGATGTCTCAAATGTTGGATGATGTTGATGTCTCAAATGTTGGATGTCTCAAATGTTGGATGTTGATGATGTTTGATGTCTCAAATGTTGGATGTCTCAGATGTTTGATGTCTCAGATGTTTGATGTCTCAGATGTTGATGTCTCTCAGATGATGTCTCAGATGTTTGATGTCTCAGATGTTGGATGTCTCAAATGTTGGATGTCTCAGATGTTGGATGTCTCAGATGTTGGATGTCTCAGATGTTGGATGTCTCAAATGTTGGATGTCTCAAATGTTTGATGTCTCAAATGTTTGATGATGTTTGATGTCTCAGATGTTGGATGTCTCAGATGTTTGATGTCTCAGATGTTGGATGTCTCAAATGTTGGATGTTTCAGATGTTTGATGTTTCAGATGTTTGATGTCTCAGATGTTTGATGTCTCAGATGTTTGATGTCTCAAATGTTGGATGTCTCATGTTTGATGTTTGATGTCTCAGATGTTTGATCAGATGTTTGATGTCTCAGATGTTTGATGTCTCAAATGTTGGATGTCTCAGATGTCTCAGATGTTTGATGTCTCATGTCTCAATGTCAGATGTTTGATGTTTGATGTCTCAAATGTTTGATGTCTCAAATGTTTGATGTCTCAGATGTTGGATGTCTCAG